TTGATAAAGGGCGCAGCCACCTCGGATTCTGAACTCGGGATCCTCTGTGCTGCTCCGAGATATTTCTCGGATCTCCAAGAAACGGGAGCACGCATGTCGTCACTTCCGGCTTCAAAACTCCGGAATCCGACTCGGAATACGAGTTCCGAGGGCAAATGGAACGCACCAAAACTGCCCAAAATGGGTTGACAGAGACATTCAACCCATTTCAGGGATTTTGAGTCATTCTGCGCTGCAGATGAGTTAATTGCATTAAAAATTTTAATCAGATTAATCACGATGATGGATTAATCCGCGTTAACCCGTTAATTTTGACAGCCCTAAGTAAACCATATCTGACAATACTATAGTTTATGATCCGTGTTAAATAAACTTAGTGATGTTTTCCATACAAGTACCATATGTAACAGCTTAAGATTTTCAGGATTGAAAGATAATGTAGTGAATATATTTGCAACTTCTAAATGATTGTTAAACCACAGAATCTCACAAGCATCATTTACAAGCCGCTGATACAGCTGCATCAGACCAATGTGTGGGCAGGGAGATTCATCAAATTTCAGTGGTCCTCCAAGGATACTTAAGAGGTATTTCTTTATCTTTGAGAATTTTTGATAGTTCAGATCATCCCAGTCGAGGGTCTTGAGAAACAGAGAAATCTACACACCCAGATGACTTGTATCATACATTCCAGATCAATAATTCCCCACAAATGGCTGACCAGTGAAAAAATGATTCACACCATGCAGAGCTGCACACCCGGCCACTTTGAGTAATGATTTACACAACTCCCCATCGGACCCAAGCTTCCCTGTCACTGAGCACAGAAACAGGAATATATTTTATATACCACAATCATTTAGTAAAGCATGGATTTAGTCAATAAATACATACCATCATCATCATCATCATCATCATCATCATCATCATTGAGCCATTGGGCCAAATAGTGACTCAACTATCATACTCATAAAACTGCAGTCTGTGGCTAAGCAGATTAGGATGTTGTGCCTGTGATTGGAGAAATGCTAAATCCCAGGGTCAGTTGTGTGATTTTAAAGTTGGGCCCCTGAGCAGGATCCTTAACCCCCAAATGCTCTATGGACCGTCTGACCCAGCTTTCTCAAACTATGCATGCTGCTTAGGATGAAAGCACTTGATAAATGCATAAAATATGTCTTATGACATAGAATATAGTCTTGCAAAGAATATATGCATTTACTTGTTTTTCTGTGTTGTCTGTACAATATATCAGTTGTTTTATATATATATATAAAACACACACACACACACATACACACACATACACACACACACACAGGCATATAATCCAAACAATATGCTATATGTGTTTAGTGAATGTAGTTTTCAGTAAACATTCTTCAGTTGTAGTTGCTTTTCATTAATAAGTTAAACACTTTTCTGATCTTCCATCAAAGTTTGCTTGTGACACATTCCAGTCCTGGTTGGAGAGGAAGTCAGAGCTCTGTGGCTAGAAAAGGAGGGAGGATCAATCTGTGAACTTGTGGTTAGTGCACTATGGCTCGATGGAGAGAGCGTGAGAGAGAGAGAGAGAGAGAGAGGGAGAGATGAGAGATCTGATGATGAGAGCTGCAGCTGCACAGTCTAAGCACACTGGGTGTGATAGATGAAGGTGCATCACTGAACTCCTGAATAGAGGCCAACCAGCTCCAGCTTTGGGAGGGAAACTTCTGACATTTAAGTCCCAGAGGTTAAAGGTCAGAGGCTTTGTCATCCACTGGCAGGCCTCCAGACTTTTGATTTTGCTGTGATCTTCCTGAGACAGAGGACAATGGGAATGCATTGTTGATTGAAGTCACTGTAACTCCCAAACATTTAACCACTGTATTGCCTCCTCGCATCCTCTTTGTGGAACAGATTAAGGTGTTGCAGGCAAGGGAGACATGCTTCCTCCACCCTGCTCTTTTATCGCTTGCTCTTACACATAACAACAAATACACATCCAATAAAACAAGTCATTAAACGTCCTGAAGTAATCTGTGTAATTTTCCCCGATTAGAGAATAATTCTAACGATGTTAAAATGCAAGCTGCTTAAATGGCACTACTGCACATTTCAGTGCATCAATAAATCGCCCAGTTCATCATCGAATATCCTAGTCATTCCAGGAAAACGCAGATGCATGAGTTCAAACACCTTTTTCAAGAAGGCGATTAGCGGTGAACACACTGAAAACGATGCCGTGAGCCCATGACCCAAACAAAGGACTATATTACATGCCCCAGCATAAGTGAGGAGCTCTTGATACACCAGAGGGTAGCTGATGGCAAGACGCCCGCCTTAATAATTTCAATCCACCGCAAACGAAGGCGATTGGAAGGAAACAAGAACGTACTGGATGAGGAGAACGTCTCTGGATAATCAAATTGGTTGTCAAATGCCGTGACAGCTGTTAATAACCTAACAGCTAACGGCGTTAAGTGGTGGACATATTTCAAATATAACAAGATCTGTGACACAGTACGAAGGGCACATTTTGCCAAGACAAGATCATGTATTATACGAGACTGCACGCTAAAGACGAATATTTAAAGTAATAAAATGCATGCAGTAACATTTCTCCGGTTTCAAACCCATTGCTAATTATAGTCAACTGTGTCTTACCTGCAAAGTTCGCAACATTCGTGTAGTTTTCTTCAAGGTTCTTAGTATAACATGTTGAACTCGTTACCTGCATTTAACTATATGCACGCATGCATTTAGGTGAAAAATTAAGAACTTTAAAAACTATAATAATAATACTTCACAAATATACTATATATATCTTACTTCCCTACCGGTAGGGTGGGGAGCGCGAAGACATTTATGACGCATCACGGAAGACGGAGCTGCCAAGTCGGAATTTTTATATGAATTGTAGGCTATTTAACTTTATTTCGACTATAAGTTAACATTGAAATGATGTACTGTTATATTTTAATTTCAGTATATTAGTTTTTCAGTATAGCCAATACTATGTGCTTGGTGCATAAACAAGACAAAACGACAATATTTTGCATATTACATCAGTAAATCATTGCACGAACAATGATTTCTAAATCGCCTTTTACTGTCATGAAATCTTCTACTGTGATATCACCATATAGAGGCGAATCATTCATACAAAAAAACAGGAATATACGTTACATTAAATAAATAAAGGCGAAATAAATACCACTCAGACGCGTAAAATTATTTCAATTAAACAGATCACACAAAAACAATAATCAAATTATATTTTTATTACACGTCACAAGATCACATAAGTAGACAGGTTACTGACTCTCTATAACCTTGGTGAGGGATTTAATTAACTGCGTATTATGCTATAGCCTACTTCGTCATACTGAAGGCGGAATTAGTCTCTCACTCTGAAGTTCATCTATTATGACGTGGAATATTACTTATAGTGGAAAGAGCATGCATTTTGCAATGGAAGTTTGCCTGTAAACTATGTAAAATGTTTAACATTCCGTTTCTTACCTTACCTTAAAAGATCACATCCGCTCGAAAATAAAGGTGTATCGCTTGTCTCAATTTGGAAAGCTCAGCATAATTTAAATGTCATACAATTACTCTTACTTGAAGGGGAGATGTTATATATATAGCTAATTGTCCCGGGTTCCCGTTAGTTTCCCGTAAAGATTTTCCTTTCCAAATAAAACGTACCCCTTTAAAGCAAAACACTGGAATTGCACAATGGATTCCAAAGGAAACTTGTTTGAATTTATCTTAATTGCAAGGTTATTTAACGAGTTGAGTATACGTGGCGCTGCTTTATAGTGAAGAAAGAAGCGAGTGATGCGGAATTCACTGCTGGAGAAAAGTTAACGACAAACGCGCACGGAAAACATCTTGACTTTTAATGATGCAGAAGCTATTTTCCATAGTTGTATAAAGCCTATTTGAAATTAATGTCTCTCAATAAACGCAGTGATTTTGACCGCGATATTTCGGAAAATCTGGTGTTGATCCCCAAAAATGTTTCCAGAAAGTATAATGAATATGGATCCTGATTATTGCTGATATCTGCGGGAAAAACATAAATTGATCGTTTCCGCCAGTCATACCATTAGCGAACATGAAAAGATGTCATCTAAAAAATAAACAAAAATACGATAGATATCTTTTTAGCGCCTTAAAGCATCTGTGATATTTTAATAGTTTAGGAAAGGTAGTGACTTACAAAAAAACGCATTGTTAATAACGATCACCACCACACCGCTTCAACTGTGTGCATAATTATAACAGTACAATGCAGGAAGCCTGATTTTGTAATGGTATTTAATACACACAGAAAATGCGGATGTTTAATGCGATCCATTCAGAATACTGTTCTTTAAAAAGGCTAAAATTAATAAGCTGGGATATGAAGCTTTATAAACTCGCAATATATGGCTCGCCTCCGTCCACTTCAGAGTAAGAAATCCTGTATACTTTGTTATGCTAATTAGAGCTGACATCACAGTGAGATCAAAGCGGCGCAGGGTGGATATAAATGGTAGCCGCAGCGTTATCGGGAGTTGAGCATTACCACAGCCCGGCTGCACGGCTGCACGGAACCTGCCGCGTCCCCGTAACGCGAAACAACTCGTAGGAGAACCAGCTGAATGATGCTTTCTGCTTTTTCTGGAGCCCGATTCTGAATACTGAGGATTTACAAAACGTCGTTTGATGGCGGACCTTGGCTGAAAAAGGATATCGTGTGGAATATCACCGCTGGGTTGATAATTGATCGCAGAACTTTATTTTAAAAAAGGTAAAAAATGTGTTATTCATACAGATGGGTATTTTAGCGAGGACGTCGTTTTTACCTGAAGGGGGAAAGATGTGGGTTTTGTTCGGCTTTAATGAAAACCGTTTACCTGAAACTACAGCATACTTCTCGCAAAAGAAGTACATCCATTCGTAACTTAAACTGCAGATTCAAAGAGGACTATAGGAACTCTGAACGGTGCTAAACCTTACCCAGCGCAACTGCATTTTATACTGTTTGTCTGACTACACCACATCGGCATATTTCTACTTACCGGAGCTGGAAACACTAAAGCTTCTTAAGCGCAAACTTATTTCTAAGTCATATGTGTTACGATGCTTTAAATATCATAATAATTTAATATGATATGTATTGCTCATAGTTTTACCCATGGTAGCCTATGTTTTAAATCTGTGGTTTTCATATTGGGAGACCCATAAACTAATTGAAATGACTTAAGTTAAGCAAATGTATAAACGTACAGACTGAAATATTGTAAATGAAATGAATATTGTAAATTTCAAAGACTTATTTTAAACAATCTTCATTGTTTCCTGTTTTCAAGCAAATTGAAAACGGTACAACGGTAGAAGGACCAAGTTCCATTATTTACCCGTGAATCATGCTTTCAATCAAGTATTTAAAAATCGATCTTTTTCTAATTATTTTTAAACCATATATCATGATAACAGGGGTATGTAACTAGCCGTGCCCTGTGGTTAATTAGCACGAAAAGCGGCACAGTTCTGCAGTCGATAGGCCTGCGAATTGCCAATTTTTACAAAAGGTAAAACCATCGTGACAGGATTGGGGAAGAATAAAAAACTCCGCTTAACTTCAGTCAGTCACATTTTATTTGGCATGTTTTTACAAGCCAATTTGTCACAATGCGCTTTATTGTGATCTTTCGGCAAAATAAAAACGTTAATATTGTTATTTCTGAAATTTCCCCAGTTCGTATAGAGGTCAATCGAACAGTATTCCTGGACAACGGTGCCTGTAACAGTGCAACAGATGGAATTGTACACACTGTCAATGATATTTCATTTATACACATTGTATCATTATTTAAATATCTACACTATGCATTTTTTTCCTGGAAATATATATATTTATTATCCAATTTATCATGCCATTCACGGAATCACGGCGGATGTTTTTAATCCTAGGACTTTCCTTGCTTGAGAGCCATCAAAGTGTGTTTATGCAGCTAAAACAGGGACGCACAAGTAGCGGGAATTCTCTCCAATGCGCAACGCTCTCTCTGGAAATATCAAGATTTAAAATAAACCATCTTCACATTATAATCCAGCCTATTGGTGTTAGTTTTTTTTTTTGCGCCCATATATATGGAGAATACCTTTTTTGGCTCAGGCCTGGTATTTGTTCTACACATGATCATTTTATGTTTTGTCAGGTTGAAGACAAGTTGAAGAAGACGCAGAAGACAATGATCGCTGGCTTTTGACCGCACCTTGAACACAGACGCCTCAGCGACTCTCCCTCCTGTCGTATCTCATTCGGACCATCATCATGAAAAAAACTTTTGGCCTGTCGCTGCATCTCCTTCTGCTACTTCTACATCTTTGCTCAGGCATCAAATGGCTGTAAGCGCAATTATTTCTTAATATGATATTGTATTCTATCGTATTATATTTGCACGGAACGGGGCGGTACCCCCTTTTTTCGAGTTGCACTTTTCATTGCAGATACGCTGGTTCTGTTTTACTCGGGTCCAAAAACGGGGAATCCATGCTTAAGTATTCAAAGGCAATGTATACTATGGCATTTTTTCAACTTACAGCCCCAAACCACTTTGATGCAAAAGTGTTTCTGCATAGGCCTATATATGTTAGGTGAGTTCAAAATCTGCCTCATAGGCGGGTGTCAATTACAACGCTCGAAATATGACTCGCTGTCAGAATTGTAAAAACATTTGGTTACTTGGAGTTGCTTATCAAAACGCTACCCAGAATGAATAAAGGCCTACCTCTGTGTTTCCAATTTGCTGTGGCAAAAGTCTGATCACATTAAAACAGGCGAGAGAGGCTTTACGTCTTGAAATAAAACTAAATTCGAAAAGGGGAGAACATTTGGAAACCCTCAAATTAGTGTAAAACTCGGCATAGCACACTGTGGGTAATTAACCACATTCTCCTCCATACCTAAAACACATGTTTCTGTACGTGATTTAGACATAACAATAGGCATCTGTAGTTATGGCTATGCTGTTTCTCAACAGCCTTTCAGCGAGGAGCACAGTATGAGCAGGCGCAGGCTTGATGAGGCGCATCGCAATGTAAAACAGATGCGGCCGTAAACACCTGTTGCGACCGTGTAGCGGGTAGAGGGGAGGCGGGCACCGGCCGGAGACTTCCCCGGGGTAACGCAGGCGGGGTGTATGGTATGTTGGCAGGCGCCACACGAACCGCTGTTCGGTAACCTGCAGAACATGGGCTGCGATCACCGCTTTTTATTGTCTAAACCTTCTGTCAATAAAAGTCCTGGTGCGTTTGAATCCCAGGTCTCAATTACCTTTGTCACAGAAAAATTTTGGTTTCGGTCTGTATTTCTGTAACTCCAGACACCCCCATTCTTGATTAGACTAACATTTCCATTGGCAGTCAGCTTTTATATAATATTTATTTACAATTAAATTGTAAATTTTTCCTGCTGTCAAGACGAAAAATGTCTATATGTGCCAATATAAGCTCTCCTCTCTCAGCGCTCATTTTGATTGAAAATATATTTTTTCGCGTTAAAATTTTTGAAATCTTGGGTGCATTCATTTGTTTCCACACTGAAACGCACAATTAAATGGCTGCAACAGTATTCGACAAATAAGGTGTGTTGGACAAAGACATAATTTCATAACCATCGATTTTTGTTAAAGAGCCATTAAGACTTTGCCGTATCAGAAAGTATCGTTTCGGTCGGTATCTAGTATTTGCATCATATTGCATGAATTGAAATTATTCAAATGTAATTGTTTCCATGTGCTGTCCCCACATGCGTCTAATATAAGAGCTTCCAGGTCAAAAGCAATACATTTATTTACGGTGAAAAAAATATGGGTCTTGTTTCTAACTCATATTAACAGCTACTACTAGCGGTATGAGTGCAGCATATTTACAGTAATTTATGTGGGACTTTTTACAGTTACTGCTAAAAGGGATGGTATCTGTTTCTAGCAAATGTATTATTTCTAGTTATTATTTATAAGCAACCAGTTATAAAGCATTTGTATTTTATAATGTATTTGGAGATTCAAGACTCAACTGCTGTGTGTCCAGTGATGAGAAGTATTAAAATGTGTGTGTATGTGTGTGTGTGTGTGTGCCTATTTGTGTGTGTGTGCGTGTGTGTGTGCATATGTGTGTGTGTGTCTGTGTGTGTGCGTGTGGGTTTGTGTGTGTGTGCGGTAATCTGAGCAGGGCCCTGTCACGGACGCCCCCTACACTGCACGTGAACCAAACCCAACACTGCAAGAGGCTGGAGGGCCTGGTGTCCTCACAGGTGCAGCTCTGCCGGAGCAACCTGGAGCTCATGCACACCATCATCCAGGCAGCACGTGAAGTCAAAAAGACGTGCCAAAAGACCTTTTCCGATATGCGCTGGAACTGCTCCTCCATCGAGAACGGGCCCAACTACCTGCCGGACCTGGAGAGAGGTACGGACAGTTTGCAGCGCTCCGTCTCCATCCGGAAAGGACTCCCGGTGTCCCCGGTGGCATCTTCCGGCACGCGGCAGAACCTCTGTACCTTCCGAGGAACCTGTTGGCCTCATGTAGGAAACATCCAGCACTGACCATTAAAACGAAAGGCAGTAACTCCAAAGGTCCCCCCCCCTCCTGTCCCAAGCCTCCCCGGGTGGTTTTGTGTAGGATGAAATATGCCAGGCAAAGACTGGCATTCTTTATTCTGCTGTGCTGTCCCAAGAAGGCACCCACTAACCCCACAACCAACCTCCGCGGTTCAGTTTCCTGTCCACAAAGCCTGCTGTTAAAGCATTATTAACTGCCTGAAAGCGCCAGGCTTCCTGTTTTAGGATGTGGGATTTCTTTGTGGCACCTCACAATAGGATCTATTCTCTGTGTGAGAAATCATGAGGCGCCTCTAGCGGGGGCTTTGCATACAGTCAAGCGCGATGGGTGTATCCTGTATGCCAACTGCAGTTTGTTTATATTGGGCTGAGGAAATAATTTATAGGAGATATAGTGTATGCGTGCTGTACCGCTTGGCAGATCAGTTTGAACATGACATAGGGACGCCTCTTTCGTCTGCTAGGTTTATGTTTTTTCCTGTGTATGTGCCAAGAGTTTTTCTTGTACAGGAATGACCAATTGCCAGGTGAGGTTTATGGGATCTGACTGAAGTTATGAAAGCACTACAAAGAGTTGGCTCATTGGCAGCAGCTAGAGATGAGTGGATGATGCCTTGCCAGATGAGACTGGACGCGCATCTGTCTAACTTCTAAGCTCTTCTAGAATGTCTTGCCAAGCACGAGCGGTCGGCGTTCGAGGGCACTTTCACCTAGGTGTGGCTCTTTAATATCCATCATCCTTTTGTCACTTATATGACCACTGTGGGATTCGTCATTAAACCCATTTCCACATGCTCTGCTAGAAATGCACCCCCCCCATTCCCCCCCTCCAAGATATATGGGCTCGGCCCTGATACGTTGTTTAAGTTTTGGAATCACACAAAGGAGTTGAATGCACACAATGTTTCTAGGAGAACCAGGGTGGTCTTCGATGAAATCGGGAATTGCCCGAAAAGTGCCACCGTCACATCAGAGCAGTGAATGAAACTTTGACCTCCTGTGTTCCCGTTGCAGGCACGAGGGAGTCAGCGTTCGTGTACGCTCTGTCGGCCGCCGCCATCAGCCACACCATCGCACGGGCCTGCACGTCAGGGGACCTGCGGCTGTGCTCCTGCGGACCCATCCCGGGGGAGATCCCCGAGCCGGGTTACCGATGGGGCGGCTGTGCTGACAACCTGCACTACGGCCTGGTCATGGGCTCCAAGTTCTCGGACGCCCCCATGAAGATGAAGAAGTCCGGGTCTCACGCCAACAAGCTGATGCACCTGCACAACAGTGAAGTGGGCCGACAGGTACCATGACCCACTCGCCCCCCCCCTCCCCATTAAAATGCGACGCCTTAAACGAGCAGGTGCTCATTGCATGGCAAAATAATGCCCCATTCCATAGCTACAAGTTAAGAAACTGTAAGCTTCCGACCAGTTATCCGGTACAGCAGTGTTCCAATCCAGTCCTCAGGGACCTAGAGTCGGTCCAAGTTTTTGCTCTCTCTGAACTCCCTGCCAGACAGTGGAGGTGGGAAAGAGCAAAAATGTCTGTGGATCCCTGAGGATCGGATTGGGAAACACTGCAGTACAGGGTTACACTGAGTCTAGAGCATAACCCAGGAATCACGGCACATGGTGCGGGGGACATGGTGGATGGGATACCACTCCGTTACACGGCACGCAGCCACACATGCTATGAATCAATAACTCGACCAACTGCATGTTTCTGGAATTTGAGAAGTATGGGGAAAATATGCACACATGTACAAAGCTGGATTGGAAGCCCCAGCCATGGAGCTGGTAGACCATCCATACGTTTGTGCTGCCCAGACTTAAGGGAGCAGAAAATCAATGTGAAATACATCAAATCATCATGCTTTTGGAAGGTTGGAGTAGAAAACTGAACAACGCTAGAACTTCCCACTAGGATGCTGTGCTGGTCGCATCTTTCTGACCTTCTTGCCATTTTTCAGGCTCTGCGAGCCGCCATGGAGTTGAAGTGCAAGTGCCATGGGGTATCAGGCTCTTGCTCCATCAGAACCTGCTGGAGAGGCCTGCAGGACCTGAAGGACATCGCCATGGACCTGAAGACGAAATACCTGTCGGCCACCAAGGTGGTGCATCGGCCCATGGGCACGCGCAAGCAGCTTGTCCCCAAGGACATTGACATCCGGCCAGTCAGGGAGAACGAGCTGGTTTACCTGCAGAGCTCGCCGGACTTCTGCACCAAGAATGACAAACTTGGCTCCATTGGCACTCAGGACAGGTAACTCGAGTTCTGTTACAAAGGACATGTTTCATCCATGAGAAAGTGTGTCGACACATGTGGTGCTGATGTGGCCATTGCAACCTTGCACCAGTGCTGTACGTGCTGCGGATATCAGCCAGTGACTGAGTAATGTGGTTATTCTTGGGCTCAGCTGATATCAATTAGCCAATATGTCATAGAGTGGAAATTGCTTTAACATCAAAAGACCTACGTAATTTAAGACTGTTTTATTAGGAAGCATGTTTTTTAAATGGAGGTCTCTTGGATCAATTGTGCCATAGTACTGCAGCGATTTGGTTCTGAGGTAAGTGTCAGATAGTTTAGAAGATTTGATCCTGCAGACCAGTTCCACACTTGAGATAGCGTCTTGATTTCTGAGCATTTTTTTAATTGGTTTTATCCTCCCAGCTTACCCTGTATAAGAACTGTAGTCTTTAGAGAAAAGATAAAGCAGCCTCAAAAGGCATTTCTTAGTCATTTTGCTGATGGGTTTTACAGAACTTTTGCAGAATTGAAACTGTATTCGAAGGAACTGTATTTGTATTTGATGGGACTACAAGGTCTTATGTTTGTCTTTGTGTGAGTGTAATATCTGTGGTACCATGAAGGGGGGGCATCCCTGAAATTTCAAACAAGGACAATTACTCTATGGTCTTATTATTTTGGTTAACAGAGCATGAAAAGTCATTTTTATTTTGACAGTGGTTTGTGCCAGACTAACAGTGGTGCGTCTCAAGTCGTGCCCGGTATCTGTTAAAGATCCCAGTTCTTTTTGGTCCAATGTCAGTGAAATAGAAGCTACAGGGTGGGCTTCGCAGAACCTTGGCAGGATGGCATTCGAACCAGAACTAAAAAGATGTCTGGCTAAAAGGCCTGGATGTTGGATTTAGCTCCGTTGTCCCAGACAGATAGCGCCGAGCTGCTCTGTGTATCAGGTGTACTTACTGTGCCCAAAGCATCCATTTCCATAGAGATAAGATAAAGGACGTTTGGCCAGCAGATCTATATTTAGACAAAAGAGTCACACGGCTCCAGCTTTTGTTATCATCGAGATGTGATGCTATTGTTAAACAAGGCCTCTATTCACATAAAACTTATTTCAATGAATTGCAGCATATTTAGGGCAGCATTAGAATGGGCAGCAGTATTAATACTTCTTAAATTGTTAACTGAGGATGTCACTTTCATGAGGACTGCGTAAGAAGTCCAGTCCTTGCTAATGGTTGGTTTTGAGAAGGCCAGCTGTTTTTGTCGAATGGAAGTTGATCCTGGACCACTTGTAATTCAGTATGTAGGTTGCCAGAAGTTGAGTGAAGGTAGGGACCAATATACAAGTGACAAAAGCTGATGGTGCGGCATTTATTAAGGGCAGGAGAGAAGTAAAGCTTTGGATACTTCTGCAGATCCCACAGGACCATCTCGTAAACTGGCCAATGACTCCCACCCCTCCTCTACTGTAGTAACCACCTACCCAGCATCTCTCACCATTAAGCCCATTATGGTGCTGAAATTGTGAAAACAATTTTCTCATGGCGGGGTGGGAGGCTTGTAAAATATGGCAGCCCCCCCGGTCCATTAACTGCAATGAGCTGTAGATGTTGCCTTAGTTAATCGTGAGAGTAACTGCTGCAAGATTATGTGGGGGGGGGGGATGGTGAAGGGGGTGTCCTAACCCGAGTGTGGTGCTGAAATAGCCCCAGTCCTGAGGTGAACTGTCAACGAGGCTCAAATGCGACGGCGGCCATTTTGTCCTCCTAGTCTTATTTGTGCGGCGTCTGTTGCGCTGCTGTTGAAGCATTACCGCTTTGTCTTCCTGTCACCCCTCGCCCCTTGCAGGCAGTGTAACAAGACCTCCAACGGCAGCGACAGCTGCGACCTGATGTGCTGCGGCCGAGGCTACAACCCCTACACAGAGAAGCTGGTGGAGAGGTGCCACTGCAAGTACCACTGGTGCTGCTACGTGACGTGCAAGAAATGCGAGAGGACTGTGGAGAGATACGTGTGCAAGTGAGAAAGTTCGGGGCCGGGCCTGGCCTCTCACAGATAACCAAAGCACTATGTACCGAGAAGGCTTATTTTTGTCTTAAGCTACAGCGTGTATATTTTGACCAGAACAATTTATTTTTTGTGTTTATTATAATTTTTTTTTTGAAAATGAAAACCGGTTTTGGACTTTTAAAATTTTTTTTGCAGAATGTCGACATGGGTGTCGTGGCCCCGATGGTCCGTTACTGTGGCAACCACTCTTTTTTTTTTTTTCTTCCGCAAACGTGCACACCTTTGCCACATTTGGATATCAAGAGCCTATTTTTGTATGTGTTTATTACTGAAATTATACCGGCTGGGTTTTTATTTGAGGAAACCACCTTGGTTTCTTTCCAGTCGGACTCTCCTTTGTAACTGTGGACTAACACTGACTTAAACTCATGCTGCAGAACCAATCCAAGGAACTCTTAAAGGTTCTGAAACCTGCTGCATTATCCAAGGTACTCTTACAGAAAAGGAGTGAAAGAACACGTCAAATATGTAAAAGGATCTTGTGTAGTTTGTGTCACACGTCTGGATGGACATTTGTTCTACACTGTTGCAAACTAGGAGATAACTTTTTTGGTCCCCCAGAAAGGACAATAAAAATGTTTGCATTGTAAAATATTTCCATAAAATAATGAATGATGTCAAAGCTAACACTTTAGAGCATGTGAACTCAAATCACGAGGGGGGGGGGGGTTCCCATGACATTGTGCTATGAAACCACTTTTGCGTGGATGTACATATTGTCTTTTGTATGCTGAATTTAAAGAAATATTTATGAATTAAAGAATCTTTACCAACTCTACCAGATGTTACATGTATGTCTTCATTCACACCTTACATTGTTGCCAATTTACTTGAAAACCTAGACACGGGGGCATTCAAAATCCTTTTGAACTCCATGGTAGTATAGTGGTGAGAATCCCCACCTGTGGCAGACCAGAGTTTGATTCTTTGCTGGGGTGAAAAGCTGCAGTTTCCTTTGGGATTAATGAAGCATCTATATTTAGGGGGTTTTAGTTTATTTTGGTCAAAATAAAAGTAGCTCTTTGGCTAAAAATTCACCAGATACCTTTTAAACAACATCTGTCTGTCTTCCAACTGCTTATCCAGTGCATGTTACAGGCTGTCTGGAGCCTATCACAGGACAAGCTGTACTCACTCTATGATGAGACCCACTCAAAGACTGGACAATCGTGCAAACTCCACACATGCAAAGCAAGAGTGGGATTCAAACCCCCCCCCTCTGCTGGTGTGGAGTAAACACAGTACCCAGTGGGCCACCACAGGGCCCCACATATTAAGCACCGACTGAGCTCGTTTTGTCCGGGTTGTGAGTTGTAATTCACAGCAATTATTAGCCTCCCCCCCACTGCTTTATCGCCTTTTAATCTGGTTTCCCATTTCCATGCAGCCTGTCCAGGCCTGAACCAGCTGCCTTGATTTTATAGGCCAGTCCTGGAACCAAACGACCGCATTTATCAACTGGCGATTTTGAGCTCGTGTGAGAAATGTAGCCGTATGTTTCTGTTTATTGCAGCCCTACGCTTGACAGGCCACACAACAAGCTTAAAGACGTAATGAAACGAAAATGAACTGAAACTTTTATTTGCCATTTGTACAAGTATGAGTACAGGTACTTTGGAATGTGTTAGAGTTCTCATATCCCATCTCAATGTCCGTTTTTAAGACACACACACACACACACACACATATATATATGTGTGTGTATATATATGGAGGTGAGAGTGAAGCCTGGGTCAGGTCAAAGAGTCAGTCATTCATCCTGTGCCCCTGCTGGAGCGTTTTTCATTGGTTTAAGGAGAAGCCTGAAGGTTTGGTTTCAGCACTGATAGGGACCAAATCAACTCCAAACTCCCTGTCCTCCTAAACACATACGCTACTCCCACAACATGTCTCTATCATCCATAAACCCAGATTTACGCGTTTGATTAAGGGCCTCGTAATACAGGTTTCTCATGCTGGTTTACACTGGCATCCCAGATGGCACAACAAACGTATTATCAGAAACTGAATTGGGGATCACTATTTTTTCTTTTTTAATAAATTCAAAGTGCAGGATAGCATGCGTATGCAGTTAGACCAATTGGCATCACTAAGTAGTTTTGTGCATGTGTGTGTGTTTGTGTGTGTGTGTGTGTGTGTGTCTTTGCAACTGTTACTTTTAGTGCAGTATTAATAATTTAAATTGCAGGTATACTCACATACCCAGTGCCGGGAGTTCGCTTCCATTCCCCACTCTGTGCCTGTGGTGTTTGCATGTTCACTCCGTATTCGTGTGGGTTTCCTCTGGCTACTTCACATTCCAGAACCATGCAGTTAAGTCACTTCTCTGAATCGCCCATAGGTTGTGGTTGAGTGTTTGCATATGCTACGGTGGCCTGTTATCCCTTCCAGGGTGTCCTGAACCAGACTGCAGGCTCACTGGAACTGTGCACTGGGTAAGACATCGGAAAGACGGATGTATAGACGGATTTTATAGGTCCCATGTAACAGCTGACGGAAGTTCTTGTTATATAATTCAGGAAAATTAAGAAAATGGATTGGATGCAAATCACCACACGCTTCCGTTAACATGAAATGTTCTGGCTCAGCCCAATCTAGGATTTTAATAAGGTCTCAAGATGTCCTATTAAAGTACATAATAGCTGGAGCTGAGCCTCTGGCATGAGAGTGTGATGTGCTGCAGTTCCAGTGAGGAGCTCCTGCTTCACCACTGGTCAACAAGCATGTGGGAGAGACGCAGTGCTAGGAGGATGCCATAGAATGTCATTATCCTGGCTACACCAGACCTGCTCACTTTTGCGGTTGAGGTTATTCTTTAACTATAAACAGGTTTAAAAGCTTATTTCACTAACTGCCAGCTGTCAGAATTAAAGGCCAGTGCTGTAATTTGTTCCGATTTCAGAAAAATCTTTAAGAGCTGAACTCTGTCTCAATGAACAACCTCACATTTGAGTTATACTGATTATACATCATGGTGAAGTTAATTTAGTGAGCCTCAAAATGTAAGTTAGATGTCATAGGGGTGTTGGAGATGATGTGGGGGGATGTGTGAGTGTCGTAGGTGAGGAATGAACATCTACTGCTCAGTACTGCCAGAGGTGAGCTCATCAGGGCCCTGTGGTCTGCTGAGCATGTCTGTCATAAGGGGTCTATGGAGGACCTCAGCTTTGGGTCCAGATGTGCTGTTGTTCAGATCGGAGGAACAGCGGTATGTACAGAGGCGGAGCCACAGGGGTACTGGCCCCAGCAGAAAGCTGACTGGTCCCCGGAGTGCCACTCTCCTGTCACTCATCCATTCAAAACATATCATTGGCTACTTATATATCATTGGCCCCTCCAGATTAATAGTGGCTCCTCTTATGTCTCATCCCCCATCTTAAAAAAAAATCCTAGAATTGCCCCTGCAGGGGAGCTTGCATGCTTTGGTGGGGGCCACCCTAACATCCTGCTCCATTTCTATTTGTCTTTAAAGGGCCACTTGCTATGTGCAAATTATCGATGGTGCTATGTCGAGACTCCACCCCCATGCAGCCAGGACCAGAAGACGCAGACACACTGCATCATAATTAAGGTCCATTTCTTTCAGCTAAAGGAAGTTGCACACCCTCAAATACTCAACAAAGGATATATTATGTCGCCACTTTTGGACTGGCTTTTGGGCCATGTCTTCATCGCAGTATTAAAATGGCGGCACAGTAAATCATGTGTGCCATATTCAGGAGGTACACAGCTTACTTTATCAGTTAGCCAGCACCTCTAATTACAGTAATAAGGTGCACGCATATTTCTATGGTTAAATCATGCTGCTGTAACTGAACACCGTGGTTAATGTTGACACGTATTGATTTACGGCACATACATTACGCCTCCTAATTCAAAATTAAAGACTATTTCAGAAAAATCTTGAGAGTTACGAGTCACGCAGATTTAAAAAAGAAGTTCTTCCTGTGAAATTTCTCATAATTTTCCCTGAATGGGAGACCAATTGGCTTACCACCAGCAATGTCACAAAATGAGGAAAATTTCTCAGTATTTTGCTTGCTTTATATGGAATAAAATAATTCCTAATAAATTAAAATCTATTTCAGCTGTTTTGCTTCTGTTTAATTGTAGTGGTAATTGCCATTTCAGTGTAAAGCATATTAAAGATCATATAACCACGAGATAAACGGGAAACACTTTGCACTCGTTCAAAAGCTTATGAAATCAGACCTTTAGTGTAACCTTTGACAACATTATTCTAAGCAGAAGAAAGAGAAAAGAGCACAGATATAAATTAGCTGGAATATTTCCGTATTTAAATTTGAGGGAAAAACCGCAGCTCGTCTTGATTTATTCTCCTCAACCTTAAACACACATAATGAGGTCGATACAGTAAATCCTCACAGGCATTTGTATCCCTGACTGCACTAACTCTCCTGCTTCCTTTCTTCCAATCTATTCTCCATCCACATATATCAATTGATGATTCGCCTCATCTACTAGCATCCCATCCAGGGGGATACCCCTACTTCCTGCCCTGTGCCACCTGGGATAGGCTCCTGCCCCCATCACAAAAATTTCCAAAAGATTTCACTGCAACAAGACTTTCAAAAAGCATTTTAATTGCATTTGTAATGAATCCTTCCCATCAGAAACAGCACCGACACAGTTTGTGGCAGTTTGTGTTACCTGCAACAGCAAGCCTCGGTTCCTGGGTGACACCTAAGAGAACGTCGCTGGTAACATTTAAGCTACATTTTATAGATCATAGCAGAATGCTGTCCATGCTGCATTCAGTTAAGTCCAAATGTTAATGCCATTTTAATTCATTGCGAGCAGACCCCGATTGGCCATCCCAAGTGTCAGGCGATTTCCTGGTGGCCAGACCTACCGTTCAGAGCAGACCTTTAAATAATCAGACAGTGAAACTAACCCCGCTGTTTACGTGCACAATGCATACACAGTATGGACCCAATCCGTACCTCTTCGTTTGTGGTAGATGAATAAAGCACCATGTATAATTTAGCTAAATAGATAATTACTGAGTGTTAATTTACTTTATATATCAGTTCATAAACAATTTTTGCCTTAAATTGACCTAAAATCTGTAACTGTCTTTAATGTGGTATATTTGGCTATTGTCCCGTATTGAAAAATAAGAAGCTGTCCCACATTCTGAAACAAGATTGTTACACAGACCCCTTTCTCCCCTCTGACTTTGAGGTTGATTCAGCAGCAAATAAGAGTCTAGGGTTCAACATATGCATGTAACTAAACAAACAAATTAAGTGATTAATAAATAGTTAAACGAATGAGAAAAGAACAAGAATGCATGCTAAAGACTGGGAGCCCTAAAACTTCTGCTCACTTTTACAAGGGATCCGCAGACTTTTCATTAGGTATGCACCTTGGTTCGTTCACAATTTATTCCACTTAAGGTCTGTTTGTTAAATGGACCAAAACTCAAAAATGCGAGCGTATTGTTCAATTTACGTGTCAATTTACCCTCAAACACAAAATCTGGGCGTATGAATTTAAAATAATTCCCTTTTCTTTGAGAGTGGTTGCTCTCTAAATTTAAAGTGTCAGTTTTGCAGTGAATCTCTGAGTCCTTTAGAAACACCCCCTATGGCTTGAATTACCTAGTAATCGTGGGGAAAAAGAGGTTTTAATGGACAGCGGCAAAAATGCTGGAGGTTAATGTCAATGGGGATTGAAAACGGACAATATAATAGCGAGCGGCTTTGTGGTCGACGCTGTTTAAATGTTGGCCATGAATAAGGAGAGACAAAGAAC